AATGTAACACTAACTTCTGGAGCAAGAACAGTAGGCTTTGTCTCCCTGGTTTTGTGTACATAATTTCTGTAAGTACATAACAAAATAGGCTTTTAAAGTTGCTTATCCACATATCTTCAACCCAAGACTTTCTCTTACCAGTGATCTACTTGAATCATGTAAAAGTTGTACCTGTTTTAACTGAGAAAATCTCAGAGAGCATTCCTTTTGACGTATCAGTATCAATCTTCAGTATTTTAAATTAATGGCATTGATATTTCATGTTGCTTATTACCTTTTGAAATAATTTTTTGATTTTTTTTCCAGGTTTGGACTTACCTCTGCTCCTAAGGGTTGAATATGATTCTTACATCAACATCGTTTCACCCTTCCCTTGCTGATTTGGGCAGTAATGGATTACCCTGGTTTACATGACATTAGATGGAGTCAGCACTGGGATTAACTTCACTCTTAGGAAATGTGTATTGTCTTAAGTGAAGTTATCAGTGGAACACGCTTTTCCTTCTTGATGTATTTCTAAAATAATCTTAGCAGAAGTCAAGATCAAAATGGTATGCCTTTACCAAGATTTGAGTGCCTGCGTGAAGGTCTTTTCTGTAGACCCCCCTTATGAAAGGGGTACATAAGGTGGCTTAGAGCAGTATTAATCACATAACTTGGACAAAATGAAGCCTATTTACTTTTTCTTCTGGTAAGAACATGAAACTACTGCTCTTGTGTGTATATTCCTTCACCCCACATTGATCTTCACTAAGATACTTAGAGCTTTCTAAACACCAACCAAAAAAATCTCACAACTTGGAACACAGGCAACCATTAGTAGAAATTAAACAGAAACCAACAGAACAGATAGGAGTTGACAGTTTTGATCAAGGAACTGGAAAGATGTTCAGTATAAAAGACTGAGGAATATTCTACACCAATACCACACCTCTTTCTTGACACAGAACTCAGTATTAACTTTTTTTTTTTTAGTTAGCTACACAAGGTTGCACCCAAAAGATTTGCAAGCACAGTGACAAGTTGGTTTTGCTTTACTTAATTGATTTTGTGCTCTGAAAATAATGCCTGTGTATGTCCTTCATTATAAGAACTTACGAATATTACCATATAAACTTTGAGAAGGTATATACAGAACAGATCTTGGCAGTGATGTAGGAGGAGGTACCAGGGATGTGTAAAGGTGTTTGCAAGAATGATAAGTCACAGAGAGCCAAAGAACATTTGTAGCATATGCAAATGGGACAATGAGGGAATATAAATTAAATAGAATGGGGTTGCAACGTCTGGTAAACAGGAAGAACAACAAGTACATATACTCAATCTCCCAAAAGAAATACAATCCTGATGTAGTTTCTTGCAAGTGCATCTAGGATTCTCTCTCACTTCCTTTAAACAAATAGATCAAACTTCTATTTCGAATCACTGAAGAAAATGCAACATGCTGTACCATGGCAGAAATACCAGTTCTTCCTCTTCCCTTCAGAAATAAAAGCAACAATGTTGGAGTTGTAAAACAGTATTATAAACTTGACCAGTGAAACCACTTACCTTTACAACAACAAAAGTAAATGCTGTATCAAAAGAAGCATGAGCAACCGGTCAAAGGAGGTGATCCTGCCCCTCTACTCTGCTCTTGTGAGGCCTCACTTGGAGTATTGTGTCCAGTTCTGGTGTCCTCAACATAAAAAGGACATGGAGCTGCTGGAGCAAGTCCAGACGAGGGCCACGAGGATGATAAGAGGGCTGGAGCACCTCCCGTATGAAGACAGGCTGAGAAAGTTGGGGCTGTTCAGCCTGGAGAAGAGAAGGCTGCGTGGAGAAGATCTCATAGCAGCCTTCCAGTATCTGAAGGGGGCCTACAAGGATGCTGGGGAGGGACTCTTCATTAGGGACTCTAGTGGTAGGACAAGGGGTAATGGCTTTAAACTGAAACAGGGAAAGTTTAGATTAGATATAAGGAAGAAGTTCTTCACAGTGAGGGTGGTGAGGCACTGGAATAGGTTGCCCAAGGAAGTTGTGAATGCTCCAACCCTGGAGGTGTTCAACGCCAGGCTGGACAGAGCCTTGGGCGACATAGTTTAGTGTGTGGTGTCCCTGCTCATGGCAGGGGGGTTGGAACTAGATGATCTTAAGGTCCTTTCCAACCCTAACTATTCTATGATTCTATGATTCTGTAAATAAGCTCTTGGGACAATCTAGAGATAGCAGCAAGGTAAGGTTAACAGAAAAAATACAGCTCATATGAACTCTTATAATCTGAAGCTGTTCACTTATCCTTCGGCTGCAGCAGATGACATGCAACTTCAGTATCTAGAAAAATTCTCTTTATGGTGATGCTTTTGCAAGTTTCAGGAATTTAAATAGCTACGAAAGCAAAGAAACTTCTAAAACCATGAATAAAATGATATGCCTAAAGTTTAACAAAGATAGAAAGCTAGATTAAATGTCACAGCAACTTACTTGGAAAGAAAGAACATGTAACTGGCAAACTTTTAATTCAAGACAAACTACAGAAGTGCACCTTTGCCTGGGTTTATGTAAAGTACATGATTAAGGGAAACTGGTAACACAGCTGGTGACATTATGGGTCTTCCTAGCATTTGAACATATACAGAATCCTGGGAAAGTTTTTAAAATATATTTTAATGTACTTTGATACCGTTATTGTACTTAAATTTAGAACCTTTTTACAAAAAAGTTAAAGATTTTGGCTTGCAGATGTTCCTCTAATGTTTCAAGTCTCAAAGTGAATAAAAGTGTTGTTTTGTCTTTTTTTCTCTTTATATTTTGTGAATTTTCCATATGCGGTAAATACGCAGTATATTAAGAAACAGACATATATCCATATGGAGAAAAAAGTGGCGCTGATAAAAGACCTCCTGAATAAAACAATCTAAAGACTGAGATGAGTATTTAGCAAATGTAGTTTACCCAACAAATTTGAAAATCAACTCTGTATTACTTATTCTATTCACATATCTATGTCAGACTACTAGAAGAATGCATACTGTCCATGTTTAAAAAGGCTGTTTATCTACACTGTGCAGAGCTGCTCTGTGTAGGTGCATGGCCATTTCTGGAAAATGTGATAAATCACCACTAGAGCCAGGCAACAATTACTGCCATAATTAATGGCCCAGTACCAAAATATGGACCCCCTTGTAGGCATTTCTGTACTCTGTGTGCCCGAAAGCACGGTTTTTTAATAGATGTCCTCTAATTTGGCAGATATCCTTCATCTCTTCCTTGTAAGTAAGACTAAGAATTAATCAATCATAAAACTGACAGATCTTAAAAAGAGAATGTACCACAGTAAAACGCATTATGGAGAGAAGGTATACCAGAATGCTTGACAACACCGTTAAAACAAGACTGATGTAAACAGTTCTCTGTGGTCAATGTATAATACCAAATTAAAATCCAAACAATTCCACAAAGACCAGTAGAAGCTGGCAGAACCTGAACACTGATAGCTGAGTGCTTCCCAGTTTCTATCTTACTGTCCAAGGCAATCGCAGGACAATTACAACCACCACCTCTTCTCTAGACTGTATAAAGCAGAAGAACATGTGTGTTACTTAAAATCCAGCTGTGCATGCCCACTTGAAGAATCAATGTTCCCCCTGCACAGGGTCATATTATTACACAAACACGTACATTATGCTCATGATGTCTGTTATCTATAATGGAAGTTTAATGCAATTATACCAAAAATTTGGTGTGCTGTGCTCTGAAAATACCATCCTGAAAGAAGGTAAATTGCTGGCTTTCATAGCAACCTAATAGGGTCATCAAGACAGCATACCATAATACAATTTTGATCTTTGATTGAAACCTCATGCCAAGTGGTGCTGATTTTTTTCCATTTAATTTTAATTTTCATATAACTAAAAGGAGATGACATTTGACTGTCTAGAGGGCAAAGAAATTGGCAGAACACTTACATGATCTCACTAACAGTATGTGCATGGTAATAACATTATACCATTTATCTGAGGAAGATTATCCTACTTATCCATAACTTAAAGCATATTGGTGCATAATTCAATTTCAAAAGCAATTTTTAATGTTATAGCAATAATGAAATATAAAAGATTTCTGAACAAATAGGAAGACCTGGGAGATACCTATTTCCCTTGACTCACAACACTATTCTGATTAACAAGCAGATTGAAATAAAAAAAAAAAAAGACAGACCCAATTTGTAATACAGAAAGGAATCTGAGATTAACAAAATTAAAATTGAGCTAAAACCAAAATAGGTATGCAAAGAGTAAGTGAATTTATAAAGATGAATTACACTAGACAGGAGCAAATGTAGCTACCTGACTGTGTATTTTAGAAAGCAAAAATTCTCAGAGCCAAGGATCAGTGTAATTGTGAGTTATGGTCTATTTTTGGGGCATAGAGTCACACAGCTGCAGCACTCAGCTCTTCTTTGAAGGCCAGTTGCATGATCTCACACAGTCAAACTGAAGCCCATTTCAACCCTCTCAAAGCAAAACAAGAGAAAACAGGTCGTCTCTCTCTACCCCATGGATCTTACTAGAAGGACAGCCGCCTGTCACCACAGAGACAGGAGAAGATGGCTGAATTGGAGATTAAAGTTCAATGATTTCACTGAATCTTGGCAATTTCAAACCATGTCATTCCTCACATTTTTTAGTTTCAAATCAAACGAAGTCTTTAAAGACTGATGGACGAAATCATAGGAAGCCAGCATAAAAACCCTGTATGCTTGGAAACCAGAACCAATAAATTTGGCTATAGCTTATTACATCATGGAAGAACGTTACAGAGAAGTAATTAAAATGTTTGAACAAGTAGTTTTAAAACCAAAGATGTGCTCAAGCTGTGGAATTTATCTCCTAGTGACTTTACAGAGCTCCCCACATTTGTTTTGTGCTAATTTTTAACAAACCTATGTTTGAAAACCTTCACTTTACAGCAGTAATGTTTTCTTTTGTTAATAAAAGTAGAAAACTCTCATTACCCACCTGAAGAACATCTCCAAGGTCAGCAGTGCTAATATCTGGGTCTTCAGTGGTATTAAAAGGAACAGGGTTAATTCTTACAAGAGTGAGCACTCTGGGTTCTGGATATCTCCACAACATCATTCCTGGACTATCCTCGGTTTCATTGTAAAACACAACTTCGTAGGCACCAGGCAGTTTTTGTGCTTCTGTCAAATGAAGGAAAGCTATAATCTGTTATATAATTTCTAGAAAGAAGCATGCTGGTTTATGAGACCAAAGTAGTTAAAAATAAACCCCTCAGGATCAAAAGGAGAGAAAATAAAAAAGCAATTTCCCTGACTTTTAAAAGATTACAGCTTAATGGAAAGAAGTCAAAAAAGTTTGTTTTTTTTTCTTTTAATTCCAGCAGATGTCTTTTCAACTGCTTTTCCAAAAGCTATAAAGTTATTCGTTGTAAGAGGCAAATAATATTTAATAGATTACTACTGTATTTACTTTATAATAAAAAAAGAAACAATAAAATAAAGAGCAATAATATTCTTACCTGCATCTTGTATATACTGGAACAGGCCAGTTCTCAGATCATCTGAGGTATGCTCAGTTTTTGAGGCCTGATTCCTTTCCTTAGAAAAACAAGTTGGGTGTGTACGTTTAGCTATCAATGTCTCTACACTGCACTTTTTAGTAAGGTACTGCCACAGAAGCTCCTGGAGAAGAACTAAACAGTTCAAATGCTCCTGACCCCAGAAAACCTTAAAAAAAAAAGAGAAAAGAAAAAGATAAAACAATTACACACAACTGTTCAGTCATTTTTGAAGAAAAAAACCTCTGCAAAACAATAGGCACTTTATATGGCTTTCAGACTGCTGTACCTGCTTGCAAGTATCCTTAGTGTGAAAATAAAGAACAGGAGCAACAAAAAATCTCTACAAAACCATTCAGCAAATTTGTTCTTTTCATCATTTGAAAGAAAGTATTAATTCTTACCACTTACAACTGATACTGATGCTGCCTGGAACAGCACAGATCTTAAAGTCACAAGCAAGAACTTGCTGTGTAGTACATAATGCTAGGACTGGCCACAAGTTTTGCAGTTTAAGATATGACAGACCTTAAAGATGCAAACTTTAAGCTGTTCAAAGAGCTTGTTGCTCCAGTAGTGGAATTCTGGAATGCATTAAAAACTAAGTGACATGGCAAAGATGATGACTAAAAACACATACAAAAGATGATCTCAAACACAAATATTGAGTATATGCAACATATGAATTCGATGTGCTGTAAGTTCTCACAGTGAGGTTTAAAAGTGTAAAGGTTTCTGAAGTTTAAAACAGAAATTTAGAAAAATATCTAATAAGAAGTGGCATTTAAAGTCCAGAAGGTTCATACGCTTTACAGCAAAATAATAGGCAAGCAGACATTCCTCTCTCCCAGCTTTGAAAAGCAGCACTGCTTTTCTCAAATCAAACTCCTGTTTGAGAAAATCACATTAACAGGGACAAGTCCCTTGCTCGTCATGTATAGAAGTGGGCCCAGAAGCAACAGGGACAACAGGGAAGCAACTAGCAACTAATAAAGAAGTAAGACTTAGAATCAGTGTGGGATGAAATAAAAATCATCAGGCAGTAACTTTAAAGTCCATGGTATGGGTAAGAGTAAAGTAAACAAGTCAGGTGTGCGCATAAAGAGCAGTGCAAATTTTCAAATATGAAAAAAACCCCCAGAAGATGCCTAAAGGGAGTGTAGTACATCTGTCGAGAAGGAGGCTTTTCCTTCTCCTGCATATACATGTAAGCTCATGGAACAAAGACCCTCTTGAAACACAGCTACACAGCCAGTCCTGAACTAACCAGACCTGCACTAATTTAGTGCATCAACTGCATTTTCTGAGTACGTCCAAGCTCAGGGTCCCACACTCGGTTGAGCATCACCACAAAGGAGCTCCATGTCACCTAAGCCAATCTCAGAAGCCTTAGTCCCCAGCTGATAGAGGAGGGAGGAATGCTTTTTCTCCCTCACTTTTATACATTTTATTTTTAGGCAGCTGGAACTCCACAGCATGGAACTCCTACCACAACATTCACAGATGAGGCACCAATTTCACATAACTTCTCTGGGCTCGGCTGCAATACCAATTAACAGTGATAGAAGATGAGGTCACATTTAGAGCTGGTAATATCATTAGCCATAAATATATTAATTTGAAACAGAATTGCTAATGCTTTTGTCAGCATTCTCAAATTAATTCTGCCAGACCAAATACTTAACAGTTTTCTGCAAAAGCTAATTATCCCAGTGTAAGCTCTAATAATAACTGGCTTTCTTAGATTTATAGATATTTTTCTGGTCCTTGTCAAAACCCCAAAATTTTGGAATAAAAACCCACAAAACTTTTTTCTAATTATTAACAACAATTAGATAGAGTCAGCCAAGTACCTGTAAATAACAAATAAAAAAGAAGCAGAGAAAGAAACTGACTTTAAAGATCTGATTTTTAAAAATGTGTATTATTCAATTATCCCTATTCTCAGCATTGTGGTTTTAAAAACTTTTAATGCCAATTCTGGGAAAAGACCTAATGACATGACTAAATGTCAAAATTTCCTTTTTGTCTTTTATATGTTTGATTTATGTATTTATTTTTAAACATTTGGGGTGTAGAGATACTACAATAAAAATAATTAAAATAAGACATATCTTAAAGCCCACTTGTTTAAGCCCCACAGAATCTATTTTTCATTTCAAGAACTCTCATGCTTCTTGGACTGATTTCAAGTTGTGGGCATTTCCAAAAAGGAGAGGATAGCATGGAAAACTGAGTATTAATTGCTACAAACAACAGCGTATAATTACTCCCCTGAGAAATCGGTGTAAGTTTAAAAAGAAAGGATATGTATTTCTTAAAGCTACCCCAAAGCATTACAGATGCATAGCTCATGGACAAACACACACACATCAGAACAGGGTCCTAGATATTAAGTGTTAGTAATTTGATCCAGTAGTTTTAAGGGAACACACACATACAGCTACAATACATGGCTTAAGCAGTATTAAAAAAAAAAACAAAACCAAAATATTGTACACGATTTTTCAATCAACAGTTTTACATGAAAGAACAGATACTTATTTTAAAAAGTAAAATAAACCCCACCCAAAGCAAACAAGCAAAACCCACCAACCCAATGAACTGTTCTAGGCTGCAATTTATTTATGAATACTCCATAAAATTTATTTATGAAATCTCAATCATCCAAAGCCAGTTCAACAGCAGAACCATAAGCAGCTTATACAGACCTGCAGCAGTCCTCCTCTCAGATCGATGTATATTTTTGGAATAGATTGCTCTGGGCCAGGATCACCACTGTGTTTACACCACTTGGCTTCCACATTAACAGAGCAGCAAAAAGGGCCCACCAGAGATCTGGCTCTTTCTTTGAGACTTGTTTTAAGTAGGAAATCTTTTATGTCAAGGGCAAAAGATGATCCATGGATTCCTAAAAACAGAGAGAGACTATTAATCCTGCCGGTAGTTATTCTCCCCACATCCATGTATTTATTTCCTGAATTCACTTTACTGTGAGCCAGGGAATCTCTGCCTTGCAAGACATTATGTATACAAGTAGTCCCACTGACTTCCATGGAAATAGTTCTGTGGGCAATTTCTCTCCTCTGCAAGTGAGGGCACCACAGTTTGGCCACAAGACTCGTGATTTTGTAATTATTTTTTTTTTTTTAGCTTGTGTCTTCTAATCCTATTGAGCATACTTTATATAAGCACTGCAGTTATGCTGCAGGTATGTCTCATGCACACTCCTTGCAAAGAACTATTTGCCAAAACATTATGACTTTTTACATGTGTGAGTATTTCAAGGTTTATGAGAAGAGACATTTTTCATTAAACTATGAAATTTTTTTCAAAAGAGTATGTTAAGAACAAGAACAGCTGCTTCACTTGATTATATTTTAAACTGATAGGAAATAGCTATTTTGAACGATTCTCTCTGTTTTGTTCAGGTTAGTTGTTATAAAATATTCCCTTGCTAGACTTAGAGAGCTTAGCAGGAGAATAAGGGTAATGTTTGAATTCAAATAATTCAAAACAATTACTGTAACTCAAAATATATAATGTGCGTTTACAAAAAAACCAGTTTAAACTTTTCACATCATAACCACTTGCACTTTACATAGCTTTATAAAACATAAAAATGATAAAGGCAGGTTAGATTTCTGACAGAACTTACATACTCTCATTAGATACAATATTTTAGGAAAGAAACACCATCTAGAAATGCCACATCTCTTGTGAATTTAACTCACTGCAAATCACTTTAATAAAACAAAACATATTTAGTGTCTCTGTATTTCTTCTGTATATTTACATGAGAAGTACCACATCAATTTTGGGTTAACTTTTTCGTCTTCTGGTGCCCGTACTTGGACTCAGGACTGAATACTGAATGTCACCATACTTCATAATGCCCACAGCTCATTTTTCTAATGAAACAAGATTATTTACAACAGACAAAAGATTATAACACACCTAAGGCTTACGTACAGATTTTTCAAGGTACAGTTCCATTTCATATTTTCACACCTTTTCTGCTAGAAAAATCCCACAGAAACACAACTTATTGTTCTGAATACATGCAGTAAAACTCCTATAAATCTCTCCTGGAATCCTGAAGTTAAAGGAGTTATGCTTTCATAATACCAAGAAATATTTTGGAAGGAAATATATTGGATTACTCTCTTTGTTTTTTAAATCCAGATTCCACTAGGAAGTGGTGCAACAGTCCCTATAGCAATAATGGCACTGAATTGCATCCAACCCGAGTAGGAACCACAAAAAAGAAGAATCTCCCCCTTGAGCAGCTTGGAGTTCAGTATAAAGGATCAAGGGCTTGAGTGAAACTTTGTCCTATGACAATCAACAGGACTGTTGTCAATGACTGCGAAAGGGATTTTTGCTCTGGGCTATTTAGGCTGGCTTCTGAACCCGTGGGTCTGGTCTCATGTGAAACAGGTTTATACGACAAGATCTGTTCAGTCTTTTTTTGACACTGGACTTCAGTGATAATTAAGAAAACTCAACATCAGCACCCCCTGACACATCTCCTTTTGGTATTAGTTCAGACTTTGTTCTGTAAACTGTGGAATGAAGCACCTTCAGATACAGTCTTAAACTGAAAAGAAAAAAGAGGTGTTTTTACAGGAAGGGCTCACCCTCACCCTGCTATGCTCAGTCTAGTTATTTTAAGAGGCGCTACAATATTTGGATTTTTTTTTTTTTTAATATCCTACACAGAATTTTTATTTTAAAGAGGACAAATTCTCAGTAACTATTGCACAATTCTGCAATATACAGAAATGTTCTATAGCTTTATTGGAATACATGCCAAGTTACAGAAATAACAAAAGGGAAAAAGGAATGCCAAAATACAAGTGGTTTTATTTATGTTTTCTTTCACTGGGATTACACTTGGAAGGATTATACTTTGCAGTCTTTTTCTGTTGTCATCTCCGCTCCACAAAGTACAAAGAAAACACAATATCCAGTGGCTTAGAAACAAAACTAAGCACATAATACTGCTGGTTCAAAATCAGCAGTGCCTACCTCAAATGCTGTGCAAACAATGACAAATGAAGACACAATTAAAAATAAGGAAGTGTTGGTAAATTTTAAATAAATGAGATATTACAAGACACATGATGCATTGTGTCCTACAAATACCAGACAAAGTTCAGGGATTCAGTAAGAGCTTTTTCTTGCTGCAACCCAGATTGCTCTTGTATAGGCAAGAATCACACCACCATCCAAGAAGGGAGCTTATTTTAAGATTGCTAAATGCCATACTAACATTGAAAGTATATGCTCAGTCAGTGAAGTGGCTTTCCTATTACTAAAGCAATCACCTCAGAAAGTGAAAGATGCAAAATAATTCTCTGATTTTTCCCCTCCCACACAGTATTTTCAGTCTCCTTTTATGCATCTCCTACAAACTTCTATTGTAGAATTCTACCTTCAGTTTAAACAGATTAAATCAAAGTCTCCACTTGAAATGAACTTGAGATGGCACCACATAGAAGTAATATATCTTCATAAACGACTGTTGTCACATCTAAAAGTTAACTTGTTCTGTTTGGATTATTGCTCACGAGCACCAACGCACATTCCAGTACGTGCAATAATTTACTTCTAGGAACAAATAGTTTCATGACTTTTATAATACTCCTCCAAGAGACTAATAAATATGAAGCACTTGCTTTGGACAGTGTTTAAAAAATGCTGCCAGCCCTCTGTTGTCAGCCTCCACCCAGACCCACAACAGCACCACAGTGTGCTGCCACGCTAACTGAGCAAAATGCAATTTATACCAGGCTTCTGCATGCCATTGGAAGAATTTATGACGACATATGGGCAAAAGGAATATCCAGGTATTTTAATCCACTGGAAATAATGTAGGAGGGTTTGAAAAAAAAGTATTTGCTTGGTACTGTCAAGAAATTAACTTGATCGGAAACTAGAAATGTATAACATTAAAATAGAACAGTGAAGAAAATTCACTAAAGCATTGCTTCGATATTCTAACATCTTTTTTCTATAGGTAGTAGAGACTTGTTTTATGCTAACATTGACAAAGGCATCTCACAGAATACAAATACCCTGACAGAGTTATAAATATAGGGTTTTATATAT